CTACCACCTTCACCGTCGCATCCTCGCCGCAAGCCCCATGACCACCACTCTGCTCGCGACCACACCAGAGCCTCTGTTGCCTCCTCGCTGCGAAACCGATGACCACAACCATTGCTCATAACCACCAGATTCTCTGCGTCAGGCTTCTTATGCATCCTCTCATCTGCTGTCAAGCTTCTTCCGCCTTCTCCCTCCCGAACTGTTTCTTATCTGCATCTGAAAAAAGAACAAACTTTGAGAATAGAAAACAGAAAAATAGTAATCAGGTAGAGAAGTGGAGAACGAGGAGGTGGAGACTGAGAAAATGGTGTTGGAGGTGATGTGTGGGTTGTTGAGACAGTTTAGATTCACGATTGATTGAGAGATAGGTAAGAGGAGAGAAAGGAAGAAAGAGATTGAAGAAGTGTGTTTTTTATTAGATTCATTTTTATCAATGGTTGTGGTTACATAGAGCATGATCCGAGCGCTTATATGTGATAGGCTGCTTTTATGTTGACCAATCAAATCTTATGTATTTGTTTCCTATTTTTTTCAACACCGTTCATTTCCAATTTTAATTTGTTTTTAATATATAAAATATTTATGTTAAATTTTCGTAAATAAATAATTATTTAGAGAACAAAATCAAAGATTTAGAATTCACAATTAAAAAATTTTAGATTTAAATTTTAAATTTAAATTTTTTTTTGTTAAAAATATTTTAAACTTTATGATTGATACTTGGATATAAAAAAAAAAATTAGTGTTTAGTTTAAAATTTGAAACAGAAGTTTGGAAAATATATTTAAAACTTAAATATAAGATTTAGAGTTTAGATATAAGAACTAGAGTTTGGGATATATAGAGCTTGAGGTATATAGTTAAGATTTTATTATTTAGGGGTTTGTAGTTTTGAGAGTACATAAAGGTTTTACTTTTTATATAAAGAGCTGTGATCAAGGTGTAGATTTGAAATCTGTTTAAGTTTTAATTTTTTTTTATTTTAAATTATATTTAAAGTTATGAATTTAGAATAGAGGTTTAGTAAAAGGTTAAAGGTTTAAGGTATTGAAATTTGAGATTAATTTTTGAAAATGAAATAACTTTTAAGTTTATATTTACTATTTTAGGTTAAATTTAAGATTTTATGTTAGAATATTAGAATTTAAAGTTTTGTTTTAGAGTTTAGGGTTTAAAATCTCGTTTAGGGTTTAGGGAGTCAAGAAGGTAAACATAACGTTTTTAATTATATGCTATTAAAAATATGATGTCATAGCGTTTTTAAATATATCACTCTATCATAGCGTTTCCAAATATACAAACGCTATCTAAAATTAAAGGGTATGTCAACCATAGCATAAAGACAAAAAACGCTATCTTCTACTGCTATTAAAAGTCATATTTCTTGTAGTGTGTGTGTGTGTGTGTGAACTAATGTGAGGGCTGGTTTAAAGACTTGTAAATTGAAGAGTATTGCATCTTGTTTAAAGGCATAAGAGTGTGTTGATAGGCCTAGAGAAGCTAGAGTGCTATAAGAGAGTGTGTTCATGCTACTTGGAATGACTCTTTAGGATGTTAAGTTGAGTTCTTAGATGTGTTTCTCTTGGTTATGAGTTCCCACCTTTAAACCTCTCTTTCCATAAGTCTTTGAAAGTTCACTTGAGGACAAGTAAAGGACAAGTTTGGGGGAGTTGATATGTTGCATATTTACTTGGTTTTAACCTTGCATTCTTGTTCATGTTGAGCATATAGATTAGATTTAGGCATTCTTAGGTTGCATTTTGCATTCATTTGTCCTTATCAGGTGGTGGAACATGCTATGGAGTTCTTGGAGGTGTTTGGGATCAATTATGTGCCAAAAAAGAGTGCAAAGATGTCATTTGGCGAGCCAGAGCATCCACAGCGCCGCAGCGGGGTCACGCAGCGGAGTCGGGGGGTCGCTCCACGGCCACAGCAGACCCCCGGGGCAGAGTCAGGGGGTCGCTCGCGTTCGAGAGAAAAGAAAGAGGCTTCGCAGCGGGGTCTTGGCAGCGGGGTTGTGACCCGCTGTGCGTCTTTTCTGTGACGAAAATGTTGTTTCGAGGACCATTTTGCAATATTCGTTTTTTATGTTTTGAGTTTCAGAAACCTAATTAAAACTACTCTGTAAGCCACCATTGGCAGATTATCTTTTGTTCTGGAAGAAAACTTCTTTTGGATTGAGATTTCATTGCTTTCATCTTGTGTTCTTGTTGATTTCTTGTCTATTTCTCTACATGATTAATCTGAAATCCAATATGGGTTTAAGAGGAATCATGGAGATTAGTGAGTAATCACCTTTTGAATTCATGGGTTAGGGAGATTAAGGGTGATTAGGTTAGATTTAGGATGTTTTAGTG